TCCTTTGTCAGATATTGCTATTTAAAGTTCTGTAATTGATGATTTGCCATGTTTCTTCATTTTGGCACATTATATATTTAAAAAGGGGGGTTATATTATTATTATTATTATCATCATCATTACATTCTTATTTTGTTATTATTACATTGTTGTTTTGTTTTTTGTTTACATAGTGCTTAAACAGATTACATTTTTTTTTCTTAACAGAAAGGTTTAGTTTCAGTGTAGTTTTAGCTTCCATCCCTTACAAAACAACGCCATGACACATACTATGCTTCATCAGAATGTGCACCATAATCAAAATTACACTATTAGATTTTGTTGAAAGTGTTATTTGACAAACAAAACAGTTGCAGTTCTTGCTGCTATAAATGCCTTTGCTGTAACCGCTCTTCTGCATGCTGCTTCATCATTGTGCTGTTATTGATTTCAGTTTTATCAGCCCCTAATTGTCATTTGAAAAACAAACGGTGGCTTGTTTTACGATCAGATGCCCCCTCCTGTCTAATTGTCTGATTCTTTTTGATGGTATAAATCAGACCACCTGATACTGATTGAATATGCAGTTTGAAAACACTTGAAAACTTCATTCATTTTAATGACCAACAAATAAATGACCTATGTATGAATATGTGCAAAAAAACTTGCACTGAAATACAAAATATTTATAATAAAATATATAATATATAATGTTTAATTTGATTTAAATTTATTTTAAAAAATCTTGATGCTTATTCATTATGCTCATATTCTGAATTTCATCATCAGAACCCTGACATCTGCCACACTATCCATCTTTCATGTCCCTCTGTCGCTCAGCCCAACACATTTTCATCTTATATCACAAAATATTGCCAAGAGGTCTTTGAAATGAAGACTATTTACGAACATTAGAGAGAGTGTATGTGTATATGTAGATGTTTCCCTACTTAGTCACAACGAGGCATTAAAAAGAAGCCTTTGAAGTATTTTGATGTTTCTTTGCTGCTCTCTTGCCAGTTTCATAAATAGGTCAGACGCTCTTTGCATCACTTCTGTTCATCTGGCAGGCATATAGTGTGTATATTCACTCTGGCATCCCTCTTCCTTTCCTCCTGCCCTATGCTCCTGCTTATTTTAAGTCTTTTCCTCTGGAGCGGTTTCTAATATGTCAACTTTACAAATGTACTTTATTATTTATCATACACAACTGGTTCTTAGAGAAATCATTCATTCACAGAAGACAATGAGAAGTCATTCATTCACAGAGGACAGTGTAGTATTACACTCATGTATCGAGGGCTGTAATTTTTGTAATTTTCTTTGGAGCATGAGAAAGGATTGCACTTCTTTAAGGAGGTGTGATAGTACACTATTTTCTCTATTAGTCATGTTTGCTTTCTACAGAGAAAAACCTTTTCCTTTTAGATGAGCTCTTTGTGGTTTTGTTTGTGTGCCAATTTCTACTGAATCCATTCAGCTGCGTTAAATTGACTGATGCATTTATTTGGGCTAAAAATGTATGTAGTTTATAGGTGTGTTATGTATCATTTGAGTTTATTATAGAGGATAAGGCTATGATAAAACATCAAACTGCTTATATGACTTTATTTACTGTTTGTAAGTTGATCTTGCGCTGCTAATTTTATAGTAAGGAAGTGAATTGACACTTATGTTTGTGCATGTGAGTAAACCCTATATGCTTGCAAGGCCTCACATCATAGCAACAGGCATCTATCTACATTTATGATGATAATTTGCATCTTCTCAGGCTGTAGATTATTCAGTGTCTGGAGGATTAATGACTCAAACATTTCTCAAAATATCTTGTTCAACAGAAGAAACAAATTCATACAGGTTTGAACGACATAAGGGTGAGTAAATAATGATAGAATTTTCATTTATAAGGTGTTTAAAAGCTTTATTGACCGGTGTACTTTTGCAAAGATTATCCAGAGAGATATATTCAGTCTTTACACCAAGGAGAACAAAGTTGCACCTGAGATGTATTTGGTTCAAGGATATTTCATTAGTGTGAGAGGTAGGCATTGGTTGGCATGGTCTATGAAAATCTGAAGACATGAAAAAGATTTTTTTTCGAGAAAGGAATACGCTTTGTGATTTTTAATGAGGTTTGTTGACCTGAAAACGCACTGAAAAAATTTTCATTCATCCAATTAAAAAAATTTAGGGTAATGATTCACATCTATATTTTTTAACTTGAGCCAATGAAAAATAAATAACTTGCCCAAAGGGCAAGAAATAAAACCAGAAAAATACCAGAAATAAAACTGCCATGCAGATTACAGCTTTTCAGTCTTTACAGTTGCTTAATAGTTTTCTCTGATTGGTAGATGTGGAGTGGGCAGCCATTATGGGACATTTGGAGGCCCCATTCAAGCAATGAGTGCCCTACAGAATCCAAGGAAACCAAACAAATCACCTGGAAAAAACTTCTACACCAATCCACCCAAGAAAGGAAGTGGTTACAGGCAAGCAAATTACATTATCCTTTAATATTCAAGTTTCTGTGGTTTTTCTGTCAGACGTATTGATTTGTCCTTGCACTCTAATAGCTATCCTGACGTCACCCTCTCCAAGATGGTGTCCCATTCCTCAGACCCCTATGACAGAGCCAAGGAAATGCTAAAGGTATTTTTAGGTCTACATAAATGAGATTTTTAATCGGACTCCCGGGTCCTTGTTTTAATCAAGATAAGGCGTCCTCTGAGTACCTGACAGTATAATTCTATGCAAGCAGATGACTGTGTTCTCTTTCTCTAATGAGAGAGATCATTTGTTTACCAGCGTGAGATCATGGCACACAAATCCATGCTAAAAGGGGGAGCGTTTCGTTTGAACCTTCATCCAGTTGAATGCTTTAACAGCAATCCTTACAAATTTGACAAACCTCTACAACCTCCAAAGAAGACAGGGGAGAAAAGGCACATTACGGTGCCCTTCAAACCAAGTTCGCCAAGTAAAAAGGTAAGTAAAGGAGATCAAACACAGTGTAAAAATGTTCAAGAAGTGTATATGGAAAGAGCTGTATTAAGTTGCCATCTTGGAACATTTTGTGGCATATTTATTTTATTCTTTTTTTTGTGCAGACTGGAGGCATGAAAGCAGGAACATTTGACTCCTACCCCACCTACTCTGCAGAACCCTACGGTACCAAAAAGACCAAATCAGCAATGACAAATAAGGAAGTAAAAATATTTCACCCCTCCCCTGGTCCAAAGAGCACACCTGTCAAGAGCATCATCAGTCTCAACGTTAAAAAGTAAGCTGGGCTCCAGGAACTAGCACCAAGACACTCATATTACACTCCAATCAGTGCTTAATGCTTTGCACAATAATCAGTCATATCAGCTGCTGAATAAATTCCACAGGGAAAGACACTACAGGCTCACAGTAATGTAACTTTCTTTATTTTACAGGGCTGTGAATTCCACAAACTATAATCGAATCCCCTCTGTGATGGCATATTGAGAACTTGTGATGTCTTCAGGTGAATAAATGAATGTTATATATTGGTCTTTAGATTAAAAAGCTGCAATTTTGAATTGAATTTATATAATTCTCTTAATTGATAAAGATGAACTCTTTTAAGAGATCTTATACTTAATACTACCCCAGGGGAAAAAACACTTTTGTCTAAAACCACAAGTTATTAAGCATTAAAAATACATATTGTGTGTTTCACCAGCAAGGTGTTGGTCAATTCTTAAAGTTCACAAGTTTTTGCAGCATTTATGTCATTCTTTTTTTTTTGTTTTTTTTTTCTATGGTTAAAACCTTTCATCTTATGTGTAAAGGTGGCCTTAAAGGAATAGTTGAGCATATGTCGACAGAGTTTTCTATTTTGTGTGAACTATGCCTTTAAGTTCATTTAGAAACATGAGATTTAAAAAAAAACAATGCAGCACAAATAATATTCATAGAAATGATATAAACAAACTGCAAAAAAAAAAAAAAAATTTGTACTGGGAAGCAGATTGCATTGCATTTTTTTTGTTTTACTGTGCAAGTGTGACCCCACCCACCCCCTCCCCCCCATCAAACAGTTTGTGTGTATTACCAAATACGTTGTACATAGATGATGGCATATTTGAACCTGTATTGAAAGCAAAATTCCTCTTCTTTCATATTTTGAGAATAACTGAAACCTAAAGGGATTAGTTTGTGTCTAAATTTAGGATTGGCTCTGCACAGAAGGCTAATATGTGAAAAATGAGAGAGTTGACTAACAGCTTTTCAACAAGAACTAGATTAAGGCCTTAAGAAAGCGTTTCAATCCCTTTTACACCTGGCATTAACATCTGTTTTTTGTAATCAGATCACAGGTTTTCAGTGCTCAAAGTGCTTTGTGGGTTCTAAAACGTTTTGAAATTGTATCAGTGAACCATACAGGGGTAGTCAGAAACATTGCATTTAAATTAATCCATCCAGAATGCATCCTGAACCACAGTGAAGCAATGCCTAATGCATGTTAATACCAGGTGTAAACAGTAATGTGGTAATGATTCAATCACTAAAAATGTGTTAATGCCAGGTGTATACTGCTTTAAATTGGCCTTGTATTTCCCTTTATAAACAAAAATGAAGAAATGAATAACGGAATATCAAGAAGCAAACAATACCAGTTGTCTAATTTCAACTGTCCGTCCCTCTAAGCAGTAGGATATACAGTAACTAGATCATGTCCCTCAGGTGGGGTCATTCGCATTCGAGCATGCGCTTCACAGTACATCTGTCCCTCCACGAAAAAGTAGCCCTTCTGCTTCAAGTTCAAGCCACAGTCTGAGCACACGAAACAGGCTGGATGGCGGTACTTGTCCCGAGCTTTCACCACCGGTCCACTGTGAGCCAATTGTAGAAAAACTTTGATTTAATGAAGTTGTTAAAATGCATGAACACTATTCAGTGTAGAACAATTTTCATGAAAATTGGTACTATATTCTCAAAGAAGACACAATCCGTATGGTCTCATGCTGAATGCTGTACTCACACAATGCCAGTGCCACATTTATCACAGAGAGGCAGCTTCTGCAGTGAGGATGTGGCGGCTTGGGGCTTTGTCACTGGGGCTTTTACACTTCTAGTCACCATAGGCCTTGTGCCTGTCAGAGGAATAAGGAGTCTCAGATCCACTTATGAAATATGAAATATGCAATATGAAATGCTCTCTCATACTGAATCCAAACTATTAAGAGAACAGCGGGCCCTGACTGACGTCATTAGCAGGATTGTTGAGGATAGTGAGGGCAGCTAAAGTCAAATAGAGCCTGCAAAACTATTACTCCTCAAGTGCACTTTTAGTTCACCAGAAAACTTGCTGACATTTAAACTGACATCTTCATCAGTGCAGCAAGCTGTAATTTCTGTCTTATGAAGTCGAATTGCCCCAAATAACAGATAAAGGCAGCTCACCATCACTCTCCACAAAGTCTTGCAGGGCCTTAAACGATCCAGACTGACGTGGTTCATGTGGCTGCTCTTGGTTCTCCTGGAGCATACGGTACACATGAGAGTCTTCAATAGACGTCAGGGGTTTAGGGCTGAAAACAGATAAAGGCAGAAGTCCGGAATGTTTGTCCATTAAGAAAAAAAAAATTGTGTCATATAAAAGTTTGGCAGTGCTCAAGAAGACACATTATGAATATTAGATGATGGTTAAGTAAACTGTTTAGAATTTTCATTGGTATAAAAAAAAATATTTTGTGTTTTCTGGCTTTACATGGTCATAACAGGTTTTACATTTACATTTAGTCATTTAGCAGACGCTTTTATCCAAAGCGACTACTAATTTTCAGATTTCAATTTTAATTCTAGTTTTGAAACTAGTCTCATATAAACCTATGTTTGTCTTGTGTGCATTTATTTATTTTTACATTAATGTATAACCCTTTTTTACATGAAACATTATTAAATGTGCGCCTTGCCCCATAGCCTTTCATTGTAAATAAAGTAAACAAACTTTTTTTGTCGTATTTATTTCTGTTTCATAGCATATTGACCAGAAACCTATATTCCCTACATAGAAGTTTCATTACTTATATTTAATTACTGTAATTTCAATGTTTTTTTCCAGGCCTAGCCTACAGTCTTGAAAAGAAAGTTTCCAAAAAGGGGATTTTCACAGTGATGCCACTGAAAGAACTGTTTTGGGTTCCCAAAGAGCATTCAGTGAACAGTTTGTAAAAGATCCTCTTTTTTTCTTAGTGTGAAGAACATTTGAAAAATCTAAAGAACCTTTTTTCCACTATAAAGAACCTTCTGTCCAATGGAAAGTTTGGATGTCTGGATCTGGAACCACAGATGCCATTAAAGAACCTTTATTTTTAAGAGTGCACATTTGCAATATTTCCTTTTTTTCCCCAAAGTATTTTGAGGTTTTCCATCTTTAGGAACCCCATTTCTTTAATCTATCAGGTCCTTACTCAGCTATGCTTACTGTATTAGCACAAGCTAGTAGGTTTGTAAGGTGGTGTAAAGCCAAAGCTAGTAGGTTTGTAAGGTGGTGTAAAGCCAGCGTGATGGAAACAAAGCTCTGCTTACCTGGGCAAGGCCTGCCTGACTACAGTGGACATCTGAGCCTGCTGCAGTCTATTTGAGACATTGTCTGCTGAGTATAATGCTATAATGTAAGGTGCTTTTGTCTAATGACCTCTTTTGGCTTGCAGATGTGAAGGGCTTTGGTCTGACATTAAACTTGTGTTCGAAGTAATCAATGTCCTGTAAGACATAAGAGCGAAGATGTGAATAGACAGTTAAGAGGTTAAAGGTAAAAGAGCAGAAGTCCTCCAAGATCCAACACTGCAGGTTCAAATGTGAATATGTGTTCTGCTATAATATACTAGTACAAAAGTATTAGATAAGGGGTTGCCCTTTCTTATCTCTAACAGAACCCAATCAACTTCTTTCCATCATAATTCTCTATCCAAATGCTTAGGCTGCAGGAAGACTTGTGAGGACTTCTGGAGGATCAGAGTGTCTGTTAGTGGTAAGTGGGCAGCCGGTCTACAGCAAGCAGAGAGAAGTATCTTAGTCCATACGGTTGGGGTGATCAATGTTGGCACTCACCCCTCAGGCGTTTCATGCACCAGACCCTGGATCTGTCCTTGCAGGGCATCCTGGATGTTATCTTGAGAGTAGAGGCCTATGGGAGTGTTGTAGGTGGAGCTCACCACCTGCGTTTTGTCATCCAGACTGGCGGCAGCCACAAAGGGCTGTGCTCTTCTGTTATGACCTGTGCCAATAGGTTTACACTCCTGCGTGTATATGACAGATGGACACACTACATACTCAAAGCTCCACACAAGCACCACATTTGCATACCACATTCTGCAGATGTCATTTTGTTACCTGAAGATGCTGCATACACTTTAACTCATTTAAACTTTTCTGAACTATCATTTTGTTTTTCAAGCTGTCACATTCTTTTTCTTTTCTTTCTTTCTTTATTACAACACTTGCTCACCAACGGATCCCCAGCAGAGTATAATCCACACGACTCCAGTCAATTAACATTTTTAACTTCAAACCAGTTCTTTCAAGCTAAAATGCAAGTCCTCTTTCCATAATATTGGTTCCAGTGGGGGAAAAAATGTCTGAATCAGGAGAGAAATGTGTGTCTCTCTTATATTTCTTACAAACAGGCACTTGTATCAGGTGGATTACTTGTGAATTATGTTTTTTTATCAGCTGTTTGAACTCTCGTTCTGACAGCACCCATTCACTGCAGAGGATCCAGTGGTTTAAGCAAATTCCCATTTCTTAGTGAACGCTTCCTTTAAGGCGTATTGTGTTGGACAAGGATAGATCAAACAAAAATTAGCAGCTTTGCACAATTTATGAAGGGCTACTCCACCCAAAAATGAAAATCCTCTCATCATTTACAAACAACATTTTTTAGAAAAATAATCCATCTCTGTGAGTCCATATAATGCAAGTGGATGGGATGATGCTTTAAAAAGCTCTCAAAACAAACACAATGGTAATCCATATGACCCCGGTTGATGAATCAATATTTTACAAAGCGATACGATAGGTGAGAAAAATATTAAAATTTTTTTTAAATACGAATCATTTCTTCTAGCCGACTGTCAAGCGCAGGTTCATGAGTTCATGCATGGTGCTAACATCAGCTTGTTGTGAAGCATGAAGTGCATTGTGAAACTCACAAGAAGCGATGCATGACGGAGTTTCATTGATATTAATATTAGTATTCTATTGTTGATGTATGGCTGTATTAAAGTAGTATTAGTATTGATGTAAGAGTTTCACAATATATATTTTTTTTTTCCACACACACCTATCGTTTCGTTAGAAATTGATTCATCAATTGGGGTCATATGGATCACCTTTGGGTTCATTTTGAGTGCTTTTTAAAGTGTCATCCCATCCATCTGCTTAATATGGATTCACAGATTATTATGGATTATTTAAAAAAAAAGAGAAATTATTCGTGTTCCACAGAAGAAAGAAATGAGACTGCATGAGGATGAATAAATGATGAGAGGATTTTTATTTTGGGGTGAAAGTATCCCTTTAATATGCCTCATGCACTTATGTTTCTAAAAAATAAAAATAATAATAATATAAATTTTCTTGCTGCATATTATAAGCAGATAAAAAATATAGAGATGTTCATTTGTTTTTCTCTTCCGTTACACTTACTTGCTTCTCTGCCTCCAAA